TTAGCCTACAACAGTCGCCGTTACGAGGTCTCACGTTCACGGTTTTGAAAAATGTGCCCCCAAAATGGCGACCTATTCGTCATCGTAAGAAAGGCTAATTACATTGATCATTGCACATTTGCACTTTAACTCAAATTTTAACATCATTTTTTAGTCGCTCGTTTATGAAGTTGAACATTTCTTTCACAAACATTTTGTTGATCAATAGAAGCCTTATTTTGTAAATTCTTGAAACAAACAGCGGTGCAGAACCATATGAACAAAAACAGCGATTAAAATTTAACCTAGCTTTGAACAACCGGCCCCTGGATAACAGACCGAAAGTTTCGAAGTATTAAATACTTACGTGGTGTACCTACAAGCTAATTTACGTACTGCATAGTAACATGTATTGAATCATTGTAAACTTGTATTTTGCAGTGTACAACTGGAGTATGGTAATGTGACTCTAACTATTGGTGCCAAGATCATATCGTGTACAGATGTACCTTGTACCACCTCGTCTTCCATATGGACGACATATTTGCTTCGGAATATAGCAGCTGAACTCAGATTGCTTGAATATCTTCATATCATCGGCTGATGGAAGACTAACCTCGTAACACTGGAAATGGCTGTTGAATATGTTGGTCTCCATTGGCTCGACAACAAACTGAATGCCCATCAAGTTCTTCTCAACTATACAAATCTTGTGAATTCTCCAAAATAATGGGCAGTCATGCTCATCATATCCAATATGTACTGCTGCATTACATTTGTACTTCGTACCTCCAATAACAACCCACTTCGCTCTTGGATTAGAAAAGAGGAAAATGATAAAAATCTGTCATCCATGCATATACTTAAGGCTAGATTCCACTCAGGATAATGATCCGTGGATGGGAACGGACAGAAAAGTTTTTCTTTGTGTTAAAGTCATTAGTTCCAACCCAGAGCTCACAACTGAGACAAAGAAAAACTTTCCTGCATGTCCGTTCCAATCCACGGATCATTATCCTGAGTGGAATCTAGCCTTTATACAGTATATGTATGTAAGGCTAGGGATTGCTTACTGAGGTTGCAATAGACCTTTTCCCATTTAGCTTTCAAGCGCGCTATGCGTGACGGTAGTTAATTATCAATTAACTTTGAGTTGCGTTATCGCTCTGCTTCTTATTGCTTCTTTGTTAAACAAAATCGCTCCTGAATATGGCCAATTCACGACTCAAATAATCAACTACCGCGCAAAGGCATTTCGCGCTTGAACGCTAAAAGGGGGGAAAGGTCTATTGAATTAGTTGTTGAATAGTTGTTCTTTTGTATGTTCGGCATGTAAAATCGTAAATTTTTAACTTACTCAAAAACAGAGGTTTGTGGAATCACATCACAAAACTCATATGACTCACAAAGCAAATCATAGTAGCCTAAATTTCCAGCATACGTTTCTGTGCCTAAAAATATTTAAATAAGGAATACTGTAAATGAGTGTATACATCATAAGTGCGCATTATCCAAATAGTGTGGGTTCGCCGGACCTTCATTGGGCCTCTCATGACGAACGGCTTTGTCACGAAATGTCGAGGGATTTTTAAACTAATGACATAAACCGTTCTTATGGGCTTCATAATAAACCATAAAACTGTCACGTTATACATAATTGATAGCCGTATGTAATTAGTGTAATAAATCATGAACGTGTACCTGGACCAATATCAATTCCTTTTTGAAGAAAAGTAGAGTGGCCCCCTTCCGACATGTTAATGCGGTAACATAGCCCTTCCTGGTGCCGTTTTGTCAGAGAATACGGCAGATTGATGAAGTTACCACATGAAATGGCCAAGCGTTTGAAGTACGAGTGTTTTGCCTCATACCTCATGCACCAAATCCTGATGAGCGGTCCCAATCTGTAATCAGTAATCGGGTAATTAGTGAAGGGGTATAATAATACGTTGAAACCTCATAAAGCAAATAAGCTTACTTTAACATAATCCTCGGCATATGGATCATGTAGTGCATCTTGGGTATGATAGACGCATGTGGATATAGTAGCCGGAAATTTTCATGATGATTTTGGATCAGGACTTGGAGATAAGGCATTTGCTCTTTGCTTATCAGCGGGGAGAATATAATGCGCACTATTTCCAGCAATACACAATAGGCATTCCAATGGTCGTCATCTTCTGTCATAAACTCTCCAATTAAAAGAGGAAGGAATAAGCCCAGGCACCACATCTCATTAGCTGTGACATAATAATAAACCAAAATTAGGATGACATGCATGCATGCAGTTAAATAATTTCTAAAAAAAATTCATATTCTTGATATATTCGGTTAACAATTCGATCAACAATTACGTCTTACCATGTTGCTTAAGGCTATTGTCATTGGACAAGAGTTTCTGCCTCAAGATTGGTGCCGGTTTGTTTGAGTCATTGTGGTACCTGGAATATCGATGTATGTTTTTTAAGGATAGTTAATACTTGTGGCATGGTAAGGGACCGTTCATTATTTTTACCTCAGGGGGGGCAAATGAAATTACAAGGGGAAAATCTTTTTTACTGAACTCCATTAAATCCAATATTTTAACACTGTTTTTTATGGCTCTATATGGCTCTATAGCTTCATTGTATTTTCCCATAAGAGACATAGATATCTATTATTAACCATTAGTTACGAATCAATTTTGAGTAGTTATCCAAAGATTATTTCATACTTAAAAAACTAATTTGTGCACAGATTTGGGTTTGGTGCATCAGAAAGATCGATGTACAAAATAGCGACAACCCTGTTACCCTGATTCATCTGACAGCAATTTTAATTTTACACACCCTTTTAGGGGCAAAAAGTTTTAGTTGCCAACCCTATTTCTCTTCGGTGCCCCCCCCCCTAAGGTATCAAGAACGGGATCAGTGCATGTTGGTGGCATTAATTCAAAGAACTAAACTTGCTTTAATCATGATATTCTAAAAAGGTATAATGCTTTGAGACAGATCGCTGGACATGGGAAATCGACCGAATCGCATCAATTACATGCATTTGGTATTACTATGCGACCTATGCATGTAAATATATTCTTTCGCAATATAGCGTATTTACATCAAAATGAAGCCGAAGAATCCCTGCGCCACACCTCTAATATGTTGAGACGTTACTATCAAGAAGGTATAAGTAATAACTGTGTATGCAATTTATAAAATAGCATTCTTAGAAATAGGATCATCCCTGATCTGTAATCCACATGAAATGCATGCTTTCAGGCTAAAGAATATTGGACTATTGGTTTTGCTATTGGTTTTCCAATATACTCGTTAAGCACGTGATCGCGCCTTAGCGTGTTGTCATCAATTATTGCAAGGAACCATATTCTCAAATTTTATATTGAAATTGCTATATTTGACTCCAGAGACGGCACAAAAGCAAATGGTATGACTTACAGTATTCGAATAACGTTAGTTAAATAGAGTTTAGGCTTCAGTGAGTGCATTTTTGACCGTTTTTTGCGAACCAGTTGAAATATAAATCAGTGAATGTAACAAAGCAGTGAAAGCACGTGTGACATTTTTGGCAATTGTTACTTCAAACTATTTTGAGGATCACCTGTATGTAACTCAATAAGTACTAGAAATCTTTACTTTTTAAACCTTCCGTCTTTAACTTTAATATTATTTTGAAATTCGAAGCGTAAATTTTGTGCTAACTTTTATGATGAAATTTATCACTGATATATTTCAATTATCTTATTATCAAAATGCACAATAAAGACTGATTTCTAACTAAGTATTCTAAGGTATTCTAGCTGTTAAACATACTCAAAAGTACTATTAAATACATACCCATAATCAAATGAAGCGATCCTCTTATTCAGCTCATCTAAGGAGAATGTTTTTTCTTCCAGAATGAAATGCTTTAACATTTCCTTGGTGTGGTATTGGAGTGTGCCTTCCAGGACATCATGCATGGCATCAGCTGGTAGTCCTCCAATGACATGATAGTACCTTGATTTACCTAGTACCGATCTTCGATTTAACCCATACATTACACTGAAGTGTTCGGATTGCATCAGATGTCTGCAATGGATTTCATATCCATCTTTTGTTCGTAGTTCAAACTCGCTTTCAAGGAACTACATAAAAAGGTCAAATAATGTAACGTATTAACATGGTGATACAATATTACCATAATTATGCATAATATCTATACCTAGCTGTTTCTATATCTGTTAATGTCAGAGCGATTTTACCTTGCAACTTTGTTGAATTAATATGCAAAAAATGCAATTTGTATACAAATTATCAGGTGCTGTTGTATCACCATAAATATTGTATCACATATTGTATCACTATTGTATCACTATAAAGTATAAATTAATGTTATACTTCAACAAATTAACTGTGTCTATGAAAAGTGCTACATTTTTTTTGCCCATAATGAGCAATTCACTGTATTGAATTTTAGGATTTCCACACCTTTGTTTGTATTTGTTCGTCAATCCCCATGCACTCCCTGCATTTACGATAAGCTTGGGAGCCCTCTTTGAATCCACCTAGTAGCTGGGAACCCAAATTATCCCCCGATATATATCCAATGCTTCCTCGAAATGATCTTTGTTGGCCATTTATTGTAAATACAACACCTTCATCCTACAGGATTGATGAAATTCAAATCTTTAATCCAAAACAGTAACCAAAACAAGAAATTAAGAAATTAATAAATTTTAATTACTGAATTATAATTAAATTTTAAGTGATGATTCAGTACATTCACTTTTCTTTCTTTAGATGATCTGGTCCATACCTGTTCAAGTTGAATAATATCTTCCATAATACGATCAAGAATGCATTCAATTCCATATTTCTTGATATGTTTGCTGTTGACAATTGCAAGAAGCTGAATGGCATTTAAACTTGACCTCTTATCTGGTGATATGTTCCCCAAAGTGTAGTCAAGGTAATGTTTTATTTAATATCAGTATTTTTGTTTCTGGTACAGTGGTCTTTTATATTTTTAATCTAAAGAAAATTCTATAATACTGAATGCACATCAAAATAATTCCCCTGCTCACCTATTTTGTGGGTATTTGCTCGTGATCCTAGAGGATTACAGACTTGCAGTTCATCAAAGAACAATAGCAGTTGTAATGCATACATATCTGTACTGAAGAGTGGATGGGATTTAAATTCTTCTCCATCACAAAAATCACCAAGCAAACCATCCTGACGAGCATGAGGGTTATCAATCTATTAATGTAATAAAACTATGATTATATAGTATTATGGTATCAGATAAGATCTCCTCAAATATTTTTACCTCCTCAACAACAGCTTCATTATTCAAAAGTTGTTGAATACTTTTGATGAGAGGCACATAGTATGCTTTGTCTTCTTTTTCAATATCTACCAATCTGCTTCCCTTCCTGATCTTTTTATGGAATTTACCCATGACAACTTTTTCTGGCTCCTAAATTGTAGGAAAGAAACTTAAAGCATCTTAAATTTAACTATAATGATTGTTTTTTAATTTATTGGTAAATTTACATGCTATTCTTTTCAGGTCTTGTGAACCATTGTAATTTGGGGACATAATGGACTATATAGACATATCCTGTTCTACTTCAGGTACTGTAACTTGTTATGTAATTCATGTCATGTGGTACTGCAAGTGCAATACTGTATGTTATTTACCTGGTTACCTTGCATTTAATACATGTATTCATTTGAAAGCATTAGGAAGAAGTGCCCTTTAGGTTCGGTAGTTTCTTTGAAATGGATTTAAATGGTTTTAAATGCAGCAGAGCTTTAGGTCCGTTAACCTGTGCCTTCATCAGTGCAATATTATTTGGGTTACCAGGACGAAATCTTTGCAGTATTTTATATTACTTATGGGGTTTACCTATACAAGTTAATTGAATTATTTAAGTCCCCATACATGCAAACTTACAAGAATACATATTAATAGTACATTGTAATAATTCTACAAACTGTTTGTTCAATTAGTACAAACACTTTGATCAATTTAAACGTGCTTACCACCATTCCAAAATTATCTTTGCAGTATGATAACTGAGACGCCTCATTATTGCATCCTTCAAATGGTTTTCGTATGGTGTTGTCTTCGTCAAGCAATTCTTTTAACCCGGGAATGTTATCCATTGTAAACCGGCATTATCAAGACATTGCCTCAAACCAGACTGAAGAATTTCTACACTGCTGTCAACGATCTGTGTAGTCGTACGCGTAATTGAATCTACGACAGTTTGAGGGACTTTGCCTTCGTCTTTTATCCTTAATAACGACAATACGTTTGATTTGCGGACCTCTTCGACTTCTCGTTCAAAATCAAACTCATGGGCGTCGTCATTATCGCGTTCATGGTCTCCGTTATCTTCATTCTCAAATTGTTGCCTGGCTGGTAAAGGGCCAACTTGTGGAACCGCTTCTGTATTCAGGACGGCGGAATGTTTGCGAAGGATATGGTTTCTGAACGAGAAGAAGTTTTTGTATGTCCTTGGACACCCATCTATCCCGCATAGAACATGGAAACCTCTCTCATCTTTGTGGACACGGCCCAGATGGGACATCAATAGTCGAAGACTACCTGACGTAAAGTGAACGCACAAGTTACAACGATACATGTTGTGCGTTTGTTTAAGAAGTGTGTGGAAGACTTGGAGTTGGATCTGCGTTACTGCGTATGTACCACTGAGCTATATTAAGAAAACGCATGAACTTGAACTTGCATATTTATTGTGAACTTGACATTGATCGACGGACCTGTGGGTGGGTGGGATGATTATGGTAGAACATTTTCTCTCATGTAATTTGAAGTAAACTTGCAGAATTACAGGATCTGTTTGTGCTATAATTTATACGTTCAGCCTTAAGCACAATATAATTTCAAAATTATCGTTCAGAGCAATATTATCTAAAAATCCAGAGAAGATTGCCTTTCTTGGGGGGGGGCTGTTGGGTAGAAATCTCTGACGTCAAAAGTGGTTTAACAGGTTTTTTGAAGTTGTTTGTGCATCATTTTCTCTCTGATCCTTCTGCAGTTCTGCAAGGTCTTCACACGTTTTAAAAGTTTTCAAAAAGTTATACTTTTTGGGGGGAAATGGAACAAAATTTGCTTCATGCTCTTATTTCAAATGGTGTCAGAGAAAAAAATCGACATCCTGTGCGATGAAGAGGTAAGCCTTCGTGCTATATGCAATTTTTTACAGATTTTTTTTCACTGGTTTCCTTCCACTAAAGAATATAAAAACGTGTTTGGGGCGAAAAACGAACGTTTTCACTAAGCGACACGCAATCTAATATATAAAATTAATTAGTGCTTGCCGTATAGGTAATATTTTCTGAATAAAAGGAGAATACTGAGTCATCGCATCTTGGTCATCGCACATTTTTCTCGACTCTTCCTCAGACAGTACGGCGTTTTCATAGTCTGTCTTTAATTCTATTTTATTTTCGGCGGTAATGCATACACTTTTCCGTATAGTATATCAAAAAAATACATTGTAGCGCGATAGGTAGTACTATTATAAACCAAGCACTTGGGCAAGTCCTGGGAAGTCGTCGCCATCCGTGTTTTTTTATCGGATAAGCGAAAATGCAAAAACAATATTTTTAATGCACATATTTTTTTATATTTTTTAACGATATCAACTAAACTACCAGTTTCGATAGTTTGAGATCCGATACCAGTTTCGAAACCAAAATTATTATCAAAAGAAGACATTTTGAAACTCAAGCTGCATGAAGAACACATCTGCATGAGTCATGTAAAATTTCATTATAACGAAAATAGTTCCTTTTTAATTTCCTTTGCTCACGATTTCTTGAATTTGATTCAATTTTTCGAAAACAAAACCATGATTGCAGAAAAAAGAAATATTTCAATCAACGTTTGCCTAGAAAAAAGCGTTAACTAGCGAGCCATACCGATGTGGCGATGTGCGATATGCAGGCGACAAAAGCCGACAACCTCGTACCCAGGGTCGTTCGTGGGTTTTCGTGCTCGCTAGGATTGCTGGCATCGAATTGGCTAGGATTGCTGGCATTGATTTTTTTACTTTTTTGGTAATTGCATGAGTACGTGTTATTAGTTTTATAATTTCGTGCAAAAGTTAAGTAAAAGATGAATGTATTTCCATGTTGATGAATATATTAGTTCAGTCAGTATAAAGTAGTCTGCGCGCGTAATAATTAAATGTAGTCGAAGACAGAGTCATAAAAAAGATTGACACAACCTTAATTCAAAAAACAACAGATAATAATGATGAGGCTAGACCAGTGTGTTGGAATATTCATATAACTATTTTAGAGATCCCTTTCGATACGATTACATGACGCTTATGCAGGCGACTGCGATGATTGTGTCGTTGTGCGCAAAAACGTAGAAATGATAATTGATATGAGAAAATTGCGTGTTGAAATGCCGTGTCTTACACTATACACGTGGATATATCAACTCATTTCAGGTGTTTTCATTGGTTTTGACACGACCAAAATGCGACGTATAAACTATGTCTACGACTTGCTGAACCAATAACTGTAGAATTCCAAGCGTAGAACATTTCTTTATCCAAAGATTCTAATACTTAAAAAAGACCAACCACGTACCCAGGCCCAGGGTCTTTTCTCTGTGCTCACTCTTGGGGGGAACAAAAACACCCGCAACGTGAGAACAGAGAAAAGACCCTGGGTACGAGGTTGATAAAAGGCAACGCTTTGAAGTACGACGTTGAGAATGAAACTTAAAATTTCGTGAGGGTGGGAAACTGGAAGTGTTGTAAAAATCCACGGTAAATATTACAAGATTTTCTAAAAAATCCGAATATTCCCTAGTCCATAGTCCCCAGTCCTTTTGTAATGATTATTTTGGCCTCTGCCCTATGGGATTATCTGAAAGCTTGTGTTTAAGAAGCAACATGAGACAAGAAATTTCAAACAAGTTTTTCAGCGGAGAGAACTCCAAAATAAGTACGATTGGGCTAAAACTATATGACTGCATGGTATATATATTTCTTTAATCGTGTTTACAGAAATATTGACTTTTAAGTTCCAAATTTCTATTTCTTAAAAATCCCAAAAATTCCCAAGATCTCAGGATAAAGTCTTGAACTTGGCAACGCTGAAGAATATTTTTCCTGAATTAGTAAATTTTGATAGGTTGCTTTGGTAATTAGCCAACAGAAAATCTGGCCATACTAAGCTATTCGGTATCCGAATAAAATTGAGGATATTTTAACAAGTCTTCATTGATCTTTCTGGAGAACTTTTGGTAGCGATCACTTCAAATTGTTCATTGTTTTTCAATAATTTTTAACATGCATACATCAGTGAATGGCAATGCAGTCGTTCAAAGTTAGGTTATTGCTAATCCTGGGTTAAATTTCACCCCGCTATTTTAGTTTATATGCCTCTATATATACACAGCTATTTGCCAGTTCAAGACTTCGATAATACTTCCGTTGACCCACAAAATATTTATAAAGCAGAGAAAATAAAAAATTGACGACATTGAGGAAAGATACTTCATCAAGAAAGATTTCAGTTTACTGTAGCTGCTTGTCATAAAATTATAATCATTTAGTTTTAGACCTGCATGTTTACGTATAAACCCATGCATTTATCAATTATCGTATTGATATATAGTTGGACACGTTTGAATGTCTTCGCGAATCGAGTGACGAGTTGCTCAAAGGTTGTGGCCTCAAAGCAGGTGAAGTACTCAAAATTAAAAGAGCAATACGCGAATCGACGACGACTCTTAGTCCTCAGCCTGCTGCAAACACCGGGCGAGCTTCTCAAACGCCTCTAGATGACGAGTTTTCGGACATCGTTGATAACGTTGATACCTCGTTTTCGGATATCGTTGATAGCGGAAATACCTCTGACATCGTTGATACCTCGGACATCGTTGATACCTCGGGAGTTCACAGTATGGCATCAGTGGATGATGTTGTGAGCTCGGTGCCTGATCATCTCGAAAAAATCAAGACGGCAACAGATGGCATCGTACCGCGGCCAGCTTTCCAGAAGACTGGAGATACGATCCAATATAATGATAGATGGATTTCATCCTATCAGTTGCCTGCAAGGGTATGTATTATTCATTCGTCATAAGAATCTAATGAAGAGAGGGTTATTTGGGTGGTATACGTGTACTAACACTTATTCCAAAGGTCTGAGGGGTACACGAGATTTATACCTCGAAGCCTGGTGACAGAATTCGTATTCGCTTCGCGCTGAGAGGGATACAAATTCAGCCACCAGGCTGAGAGGGATAAATCTCATGTACCCCGAGAGACCTTTGGAACAAAGATTTTGTCTTTGAAGTTATATCTACACTCAGATTAAAAAAAATGTCGTATCCTTTTTTTGTCGTAGCCATTTTAAAAAAATGTCGTATCCTTTTAGAGCTTGTATTAGCCAATGAGCGTCGTTTGGAATTCGTATACCTTTGGAGCGCACAAAGATACGAGATTTATCCATTCTGCTTCGTCCAAACAGATTTGTCTATTACTGTGCGTTGATAGACAAATGCATGTATTCATAAAAGCGATCGTTCCTATACTGTATATATTTGTTTGCATGAATAAATATTTCATGTGTATAATTTACCATTCGCGAAATCAGGATAAAAAACGTGTCTTCGCGCTGGTAAAAACAGCCTGACCAGACCCAGACGAGGTAAAATTTCAAAGCAGGTTGGTAGGCTGTATGAGAGGATTAGGAGATACACGCTCCTCAGCCAATATACCCACCAAAATATACATACGTATTATATAGTTACGTCTTTTTTTCGTAATTATATACACTAATGATGTCTATGTGTAATACTTACAAAAAATCCAAATACTGTGTTGGTCAGCTTCGGCCTTGTGTATTGTAAAACACCTAAAATTTGAGTTTATCATGAGCCTGAAAGATAAAGCAATCACCTTTACCGGAAAGTGACTCGGAAATATCAACGTACGACCCAAGCCTTATGTACCTCAAGGTGCATATACATATATAGTCGTAAAGATTGAATAACTATATATTTATTTTGCATTTTAGTTTTCGCCTAGAGTCACAGCAGCCCTGGAAAGAAAAAACCTTCCTGGAAACGTGCGGGACGAGTTCAACAGAGATATATGCAGTAGCATTAAAGTTCACACCATGAACCCAAAAAAGCATGAGAGGGAGACCGTGGCATTTAAAATCATCTCAAAATATCCATTTTTAGCGGACAAGATTGGTTCTGGAATAGTATGTGATTATAACTTACCGGTTTCTTAACTTCTTCATGCAATGCTTTGATTTTGGTATAATTCTAAAGAAGCATAATCGATTAAACAAAAAACGTTGACAAGTTTGGCAAAAAAATTATACGCTTATATACTGCATGTATATTGAATGGAGATTATTATATCATATTGTTTCCTTTATTGTTGGATCAGTGACTAAAGGTCACTTTTGAATGGTCGATTCCCAAGTTTTTAGGAATCCCCCAATTACGCTTCAATAAAGTGAATGGTCTTAAAGCATGATTATCGTCACATGTTTGCTCTGTTGATCTACCATGCAGGTAAAAACAGTTCTAAGAAGGACTGACTGTTGAAATTGGTGTTGTCTGACGTTTCTATTCCCTTTTAAAAGGGACCAAATCCTT